AACACCATTGAACACGTCCAATGAAAGAAAATCGAGGATGACAAAGTTCACCATCAGACGGTTAGGTCGGGCAACTTTTTATACTTTTTTCTTAACAAAAATACATATTTTTCACTTATAGTTGAACCTTCAAACCGAAAACACTCATCAAGCTTTTTCCCTTTGGCATTCTCTTAATTAACGAACACACAACTTCGGGGCTTTGTTTGAGTATCCAAACGGTGAAAACAGCCTAGGGGGTGTAGCTCATATGGTAGAGCGCTCGCTTCGCATGCGAGAGGCACGGGGTTCGATTCCCCGCACCTCCATATTTTTTCACTTAATTGTTCTCTGTTTACATTTTGTTCCTTGTATATATATAAAAAGAAAAACCCAAGAGTGATTACAAAATCTGTGGCTGTAATGAACCGCCGCCTCTGCACGGCGCCGCACCATTTTCGCTGCCGCCAAAAACCACCATTTTCTCCAAACTTCAAAATTTCTACTAACACACACACTGCGTGTTTTTACTCTACAAAGCTCTCACATGCTTCGATCCTCCACCAACTGAAACACACGAAGCCCATTCACCAAGTTCACGCCCAACTAATCATTTCCAATCTCTCCAAAGATGTCTTCCTCTGCAACAGGCTGGTCAATGCGTACGCTTCCTGCGGACATGTACCCGAAGCCCGGATCGTATTCTCGAAAATCCCGAACAAAAATCTGGTTTCTTGGACTGTTTTGCTATCCGGGCTCGCGAAAAATGGCCTCTTTTTGGAAGCCATCGATATTTTCCGCGAGATGGTTCGAGGGATGATCAAGCCGAACGAGGTAACAATTGCGAGCGTTTTGCCTGCATTTGGAAAATTGGGGTTCTTTCTGCTGGGGAAATCCGTGCACTGTTATTGGGTGAGACACAATTTTGGGGATAATGTGTTTGTGGGGACGGGTCTGATCTCAATGTACTCGAAATTCGGATCTGTTGAAAATGCCCGGGAAGTGTTCGACAAAATGTCCGTGAGAAATGTGGTGTCTTGGAATGCAATGATTTCGTGTTATGCCGAGAATGGATTTGAGGAGGACGCGTTATTGTTGTTCAGTGGGATGAGGATGAAGGGCTTTTCAATCGATATATTTACGCTTATGAGCTTAATTAGTTTACGGGAGTTTCGAGTAGGGAGTGGAGTCCATGGGTTGATAGTTAAAAGGGGATATTATGAGAACGACCGACTGGTTAAAACGGCTTTAATGGAGCTGTATATAGATTGTGGTTTTGTTGATAATGCTTATTTTATATTTGGAGAGATCAGTAAAAGGGACTTGGTTAGCTGGACTTTGATGCTGAGAGGATTTACAAAGAGTGGCAATTGGAAAAAAACATTAGGCCACTTTATTAGAATGATGAGAGAAGATGATATTAAATTCGATTCGATTTCTTTAGCAACTATTCTTTCAGGTTGCAGTTCATCAGGTGCTTTGCAGCAGGGTAGATGCATACACGCCATCGTGACGAAATCCGGTTTTCAAGGTGATTTTTTTATTGGGTCGGCTATAATAGACATGTACACTAATTGTGCGAGTATAAGAGATGGAGAAAGATATTTCGATTCGATGGGTGAAAAGGATGTGGCGTGCTGGAACGCATTAATATCCGGTTATGGTTCATATGGGTGTGGAGTAAAAGCCGTCGAGCTATTTTCAAAGATGAAATTTTTAGAGATAAATCCCAACGAGTCAACTTTCGTCTCGGTTTTGTGTGCTTGTAGTCATGCGGGCCTTGTCGATATCGGGCTTGAAATTTTCGGTTGCATGATGGAAAATCGGAACGTGATTCCGAATGCAAAGCACTATGCATGTGTTGTGGACCTTCTTGGCCGAGCTGGCCGAATAAACGATGCTTATTCGCTCGTGAAGAGAATGAACCAGCAGCCGCGCCCTGAGGTTTACTGTTCACTGCTGGCCGCCTGTAGGGCCCACCGGAATTTCGAGCTCGGAGATGAAATTTCTCGGGAGCTTTTTCAGTTGAAGCCCGTTGATGCGGGTCACTATGTATTGCTCTCGAACGTGTATGCTTTGGCGGGAAAATGGGAATACGCAAGAACGAGTCGAAAATATTTGAAATCGAGCGAACTGAAAAAGAGGCCCGGAATTAGCTCGATCGAGATCAAAGGTGAGATCTTTACGTTCATGGCCAGCCAAACGGACCATCCCTTTTACCTCGAGATTAAGGAGTTACTTGTTGATTTGATTTCGAAAATAAGAGCTGCAGGGTTTGAATTTGATTTAGACTCGGTTTTCTTGGACGTTTCGGATGATGTGAAGAAAGATATTCTATTCCACCACAGTGAGAAGCTGGCTATCGCTTTCGGGCTTTTGAGAACGAAGCCCGAGTTCGTTATAAGGATTACGAAAAACCTACGTGTATGCAATGATTGTCATGCGGCGAGTAAGTTCGTCTCGAAAGTTTATGGTCGAGTGTTGGTCATAAAGGATGCCAATCGGTTTCATATTTTTAAAGATGGGCAATGCTCGTGTGGGGACTGGTGGTGAATGAAATTACTGTAGAAGATTAGTGCTGTTAAATTAAACGAGTCTGGCTCGACTCGGTTGATAAACGAGCCGAGCTCGAAGTTCATTTAAAGCTCGTTAAGGATCGAAAAGATAATTTTTATATAATTTTCTATAGTTCAGCTCATTAAAGCTCGAGATCAGCTCGTTAAGTCGAACTCGGCTCGTTATTAGTTATTAGTGACAAACGAGCCGAGCTCGAGCTCGATTTCAGGCTCGTTTATTAACGAGACTCGAACTCGAACACCCTAACCTTGAGCTCGGCTCGTTTACAGGCCTACTGTAGATAAATTTTCTTCTTAACTCGGAACTATATACCATAAAGAGAAAAAACAAGAAAAGAAAATGGGGGTTCCGTTACTTAATTACATTACACATTGTGTTCAAGAAAAAGCCCATACAACATCTTAGTTGTGCCTAAAGTTGTGGACCTTCATTGTCTTCGGCTTGACCAGCTCGAAAATGTACTCATCGTCTTTCTTTATCGAGTTATCATTCGCAAAGGCCTTCCAACCTCCACAAAACTATGGGCCCGGCCCATAGTTTCTTCCGCACCCGTTTGGGTCGTAAAACACCACATCAAAGGAGAGGCTACCGTTGTATTTGAAGATCAAGAACTCGGCCTGGCCCAACGACTGGCATCTCACGAACTTCTTCCAGCCGCTCATGAAATATATGCCGTCCGGTTTTCGCACGAGTTTTACGTTCCAATTCCCATTGGGAGTCTTTAGTGTTGCGGTTTCGGATTTTTCGATGTTCGGTGGTAGATGGCGTTCGAATTTTGGCGGGATCCTCTGCAAGTTTTTTCGACTCGTGTAAGTTTTCTTGAATTTTTCTAAATGGAAAAGTGAGAATTTAGGCGTTTAATTTATCATCGTTCGGAAGAAAAAAAGTACCAAATTCGTGCAATTGGTTAGCCATATGATTTTGTAGAAGCATGGCCTTTTGTCTGGTGTTTCCATATTGTTCTTCTCAAGCTTGTTGTGTTCTGCCATTTCACTTCAATGCCTAAGAATAATGAGTTCACAATGAACGAATTTGAGTTTTTGTTCAAATAGAAAAGGAAAAATAAAGTAAATAAATCAATAAGCAAAAGATTGGTATAAAAGCAAAAAAAATAAATACAAAATCACCAACCTGAATTGAAGAGAGTAATTTGTGTTTTTGTTATCACCAAAGGGAATTTGATGAACACACTTCTTTTCTCCAGTTGCAAATAGCACTTATACAGATTATAAGTTGATGAAGAATTAGATGTCGTTTTATAATTGCCAAATTGAGGAAAATATTTTTGCATGAAAAATTCAACGGAAAAGGAAAAAAATAACTTTAATACACGTCGTTTTTTTCTGACCATAAAATGGGGAAAGAAAACTCTGCATAAAGACTAGTGTTAAGAGAATAACATAGCTGAAAACAGAAAAAATGATTAATTAATGTTTCATATTTAAGGATCTTTTAATTTGCAATGAAATGATTATTTAATATTTATTGAGTGTGGTATCACAAATTCTTGTATGACCGGCTTAACAGTTAGGTGGTCAACCAGTTATACATTTTTATCAAAAATACATATTTATGCTACAAAAAATTATAAAGACGTAAATTCATATTTATTGAAAAAACATGGGTGACTAACCGATAGACTGGTGTCCCAATATCATATAGTTTGGTAGGGAGTCAATTCAAAATACCTCAAAGAGCAATTTTCTTGCAGCTGTAAAGAGAATTGCAGGGTTGTACTTTCTTGCCTAAATAAATTCAAATGAGTAGCAGGATTATCAACATAATCGAAAAAAATCTCAGATTTAACCTTTAATAATGGAGCTTTGATGTGATTAATGTAATCCTGAGTCAATTTACTAATAAACAAAAATAATGTTTAAAATAATTAGGTATTGGAAGGATTATAATGAAGGGGAGAAACTAAATAAAAATAGATCATATTTAATTACTCCAATGTAATATTTGAAGTTGAGTCCAAAACAACATCAAATATATATGATAAATTTTATTAAAATAAAAACTTCTATATCGACTATACTTAGTTTATTTACATTGGATAAGGTTTTTAATACAAAAGGCTCAAAATTAATCCTATGTAGCCTGCAGATTTTTTTCAAATAAATCCAAACACTGAAGATCGAATTTAGGAATGGAATGTTGTCAAGTTTCTACTTGGTTCATTTTATTCGAAGAGTATTTAATTTGTTAAACTAATTATCAAATTGAGATTTAAATAGTTCACTACGACCCAGAATAGTTCACTATGGCCCTTCTACTGTTCTACATAGTTACTCTTATTATTATTTATTTTATTTTTTACCTAAATCACATTTAAAATAAAACCATACGTGAACAGTCACTTATAAAAGATGTACGATAAAAGTATACAAATATTCTTATATATTATTTCAAAACGTGCTGAGCCTAAGTGACAGGCTCGTACGTGTTAAAATCTTACATATCACAATATCATGTTCTGTATTTAGATTCGAATAAAAAAAATAGAAACAAATTTGGCTTGGAAAGTGCTATAAATAATTTTTTCACCATACATTATTGTCTCCCATCAATCTCTTTTTCATTACCAAATTTTTCTTGAATTTAAAAATCACACAAATCTGTATTTCTTTATTTCATTTTACTAAGGATTTAGCCCATTCATCATATTTTTTTTTTAAAGTAGATAAATTTTAGCCCATCTTTGAGTCGGCATATTTGTTTGCTTAATCCCTCTTATATATAATTCCCGAATGTGCCGAGCCTAAGTGGCAGACTTGCATGCTTCGGAATCCTACGTGGCAAAATTACGTGCTTCATTATTTGGATTGAATAGATTTTAATTTTGTTCCAATCCAAAAATAATTAAGTTCGGTTTATCCATAAATATGTTGATTATTTATGGTCATGATACATGTATTAATTGCATTTTAATATCATTTCTTATTATAACCATTGAATTGTAAATGTATTTTAAAATTTAATAACTTTTGTATTTTTTTTAATTATATATATATATATAATATATCAAATAAATCATCTCTTTATGAGCTGCGATTTGACATCCATATTGTATATATAAACTAAATTAATTATATTTATCTTAATAAAAATAATAAAATTATTTATTAATATTAATTAGAATAATAAAATTATTTATCAATTAATATATTTATGTTTCAAGTAGCTATATGATATAAGTTGGAAAAATTATTATAATAAAACACATGTAAGTCGCATATGTAACGAATGACATTCTAAAATATATTATAATATATATTTTTCTAAACAATTATCTAAGTTTTAAAACATATTTTGTTATTAATTTTTAAAATTTAAGAATAACTTTTTAACAAATATCCGTGTATTACACGGGTAATGTACTAGTTAATAATGATAAACGAAAATTATATATTATAGTTATATTGATAATATAATTAATAAAATATTAACTAAACACGTCTCTTATCTTAATTCTTATCAATTTTAGCCCTTGTCTTATTTTTCTAAGTTGATAAATACTATCCCATACATCATTTTTTTTTTATTTTTCTAAGTTGATAAATTTTAAGTAGAACAAATAATGTTGTGTGCAAAGAAATTTTTTAGAATTTGAAATAAATGCCAATGCATATTAGTTTTTGTTTTATAAAATTTTTATTTATTTATTTTGTTTATACTTACAATAACTACACTATTTTGTTTTATAAAATTTTTATTTATCTCATGATCCAACGCCTAATATCCATTGTGGAATTGATAGAATGGATATTAGGCGTTGGATCGTGAGATCTATGGCACCATATGGTGCCCATATGGGCACCATAGAATTTCTGCTGTTTTTATGCATATTTTGTTTTCCTTTTCAGTGTGTTTTGTGAGACGAGCATGTTTATCTATGGAAATTTTTTAAAAAATTTCCAACATTTTAACCCAACCACTTATTTTAACTCAACTTTAACTCAATCCCACTATCATTAATATTATTAATATAATTAAATAATACCAATCAATCATTCATACACACCACATCAACCTTAATTCACTATTTATCCACTCACATTATTTTAACTAACTATTGCATCAAATCATCTCTCTCTTATTTTTACATCAAATTAATTCTAATTATTTTATTTTAAATATTATTTTAATATATCAACTAACAACTAACCATACCACCCTTTTCAAAATTAACCAAACCAAACAAAAAATCTAAACACAACTAAAAATTTCTATAAACAAACATGCTCTTAAAGCCGTCCCGTGTTTCTTTTATTTTAACGCTTTAGTAAAGGCTACGATATATTTTGAACTCCCGCGTGCTATATATTTGAGCCGTGCATTTGAAATAAGCAGATTTTGAGTCCATAACAAAATTCAGATATTTTCTTCGATATTTTGCTCTTCTTTTAACTATTTTACTGTTTTTTTTTTAAATTATTTTTTCATGGACCCATGTAGTACACGGGTGTGTGTGTGTCGTACTAGATAAATGAGATTTGTAAGTTAGTGACAGTAGTTTTATCAAATATAACTAGTGTGTACCCCGTGCGATGCATGGAAACAATATTAAATCTACAATATTATAAATAGACCTCGAGTTTGAGTTACTAAGTGGAAACTACTATTGATTCTATTTAAAAAGAGGAAGAAAAAAATAATTATAAATTAAAGAGGAGGATAAACAATACTTAATAATTTTAAATTAAAGATTCGGGGTCAAACAATGTAAAATTATTTTGTATAAGAGAAAATAAAATTTGCATTATTTTGTATAAGAGAATATAAAATTTGGACCTTTAATATTAAAACACCTAAAATGTTATATTAGTATATGTAAAAGTATTCAAAATTTTCTATATTATTTTTGTAAGATGTGAAGTCACCTACAACTTTTCTAAACAATTTTAAAAGGAAAATATATTTAAAAACATTTGAATTTAACATTGTGTACAAAAAAATTTTCTAGACTGTTTTGTAGAGAAAACATGTCTACAAATATTTAAATTTAACATGAATTATGTATATGTGTATATATATATATGTGTGTGTGTGTATATATAGACGAATATGTAAAAAAAATGTCTAAACAATGTGTTTAAAATATCTAAAATATTATAAGACTAATTTAATAAAGACATTCAGATGATACTGGTGTTACTTCCATTTAACAAAATTTGATTACACACAATTTCAAAATTATTATTATACATTTTACGTTGTTTTCGAAGATGTATTGTTAGTTTATAATATTTGTAAAAGTATTAGTAATTAGACCGATGAAAATTAGCAGCGCTCGATATGGGTTCGTATTTTTTTTTTTTAAATAAGGGATGAGATTTTGAGTACCAGGTAAAAAAAATACAAATATTTATTGTCACCGACGGTTTTGAGTAAAAAAAATAGGAAAAAGAAAAATAGATATATACTGTCACCGGCGGGCTGTTTTGAGTACCAAAAAAACAGGAAAAAGAAAAACAGATATACACTGTCACCGGCGGGAGTACCAAAAAACAGAGAAAAACAGATATACACTGTCACCGGCGCTTTTTGAGTATCAAAAAACCAGGAAACAGAAAAACACATATACACTGTTACCGGCGGTTTTTGAGTACCAAAAAAAAGGAAAAAGAAAAGCATATATATACGCCGCCGATTTTTTTTTACCAACAATTACTATATATAAGATACATTTAATGATATTGGCAAGAAAAACTTGTTAAATTTATAAAAAAGTTATTCTTTTTATATAATGATAGACGTGTGGGTTAAACTAGCAGGCCCAAAAACTTGACTTGGACTTCATAATAATGGATCGTAAAAGGTGTTAGCCCAGTAAAGAACAAGCCCAATAAATACCAAAACTCGCATTTTTTCTTATTGTAAAGTCGTTGCTTTACTTACTTCATACGCCAACTTACTGACATAACCGTTTTCCGAACAAGATGCACTCGTTTGAGCCATTCACATTTTTTTATTTTTCTATGTATCACATTAAAATAATAACATATTAATAAAAATATTTAAAACATTCATAATTTTCTCGCTGCCTTTTTCTCAGGGAAGAAGATTTTTATTTTTACCCTTAAAAATTCTTGGAAAAAGAGATACCAAAGTTTTCAACTTTACATCGATTTTACGTTATTTATTGATCTACACGAAGAACCCTCCTTCACGTTTCTCACAATTTCTCTGATTTCTATGGTTAATTTTTTATTTACATTTAAACAGGGAAATTCAAGAGAATTCGTATACCAGAACATATTATTTCAAGAGATTTTGTATAAATCCAATTCCAGTGAGTTCATTTTTTTTTTTTTTNGTGCTTAATTAATTGAAATCATATTATCATGAATATCAGCAGATTTCATTTTTTTTTTTTCATTTCTTGGCAAATACTTGTTATCTAAATGAGATTTGTCGAAATTTGATTTAGCAAGATTCACCGTTAATATCAGGAAAAAAGGCGCCAAAAACATCGTGTTTTGATGAATTCATCTACAATAATGAGGCAGAGTGTTCTTCTAATTGTAATGATGGTATTTTTGGCTAATGCCGAGGACACGAATCACGTTTTCGACCTGTGTTCGGATGCAAAGGTTAAAAAATCGGACGGTTTTACATTCGGGCTAGCATTTGCATCTAAAGACTCCTTTTTTTTCAACCAAACTCAGCTTTCGCCGTGTGATAAGCGTTTATCCCTGGCGGGCAATGGTGCCCAGCTGGCGGTGTTTAGGCCGAAAGTCGATGAGATTTCGCTCCTCACCATCAATAGCTCCACATTTGATCCTGTAAGCTCGGTTTTATTGTTTCGCTCGATTTCGCTACTTTTTATAGAAAATAATATATTGTAACTAGCCGGAGTATAAAAACTCGTCGTGAGTCAGAAATTTATAGCAATAATTAGAAAGGTTGATTATTTTTTTCGAATAAGGTGTAGAGGTGAGATTTTGAGTAGAATTTGATCTTTCTAAAAGTGATTTTATGATTAGATTTTATTTTATTTATTTAAGTGCTTGAATTATGATTGAAATTTCAAATGTTGCCAGAGCAAATCCGGTGGCTACATGGTGGCGTTTGCCGGACGACGATACGCGGCTCGTTCGCCAGCCGTGTTTGTTGCTGACAACACTCACACTGTAACGAGCTTCACCCTGGTAAAAATCGAGCATGTTATTGGTTTTCGATTTTTCAGAACAACATATAACCGCATAATTAATGAGCTAAACCATAGATATTTTTCGAAAACTTGTTTTCGTTCCTATGAAAGGATTTAAATGTAAGACAAAAGGAAAAAAAATGGAGAGTTAGTACCCAACTTACACCAAATGACCAAATTGATATTTAGTCTGGTGATTGCGTTGAATTTGCAAAACATCCTGAAAAAACAAAACAAAACAGAAAACCTGAATTTTGGTCTTCCATCGGGAAAAACCGATCAATGTGACTGGCTTGCTGAGTTGGATATGTTAGTTGGCTGACACATGTGTGTTGGTCACAATGATCAGTTTTTTCCGGTAGAAGGACCAAAATTCAAGTTCTTTTCAAGGTGTTTTGTAAAATCAACGCATGACTAAATCTCCAATTTTTCATTAAAGACAAAATTTGTAGTTAACCCAAGTTTTTGTAGGTTCTTGAATTTCAAAAAGGTACACTCGAAAACTTGTTTTGGAAAAAGTTCGGTTGCGGATCTTGCAACGGGGGCTCGTTCGTGTGCCTCAACAACACCGATTGTGCAGTCCGAAATTCGAACTGCAAAAAAAACGGTGGTTCAATCGGGTGTGACGTGGGCATACAGTTGGCCTTTTCTGGTACGGACAAAAACGACAATGTGCTAAACTCTTGGTACGAGGTCGCTAATCTTAGGCAGTATTCGTTATACGCTCTTTACTCGGAACTAAAAAGTTCTCTTACGAGCCCGTTCAATGGCCTGTTCTGAAAAAATGTTGCATCTTTTGTTTTCTTTTGTTATTATTGGTTTTCTTGGATTAACTCATGAAAGGCTTTTTCCTGGATAAGCATAACATCTCAGTGTAATATCATAGACGAAGCAGTTGCTGGCTGATTCGATTTCTTGCTTTCACGAGAGAAATATGGTGAAAATTGTATTTTTTTTCCTGGTTTTGTACTCTGATCAATTTTAGTGAATTACATTGCAATCCAAACACAAAGTCAATAGATGAAAAGAAAAAACAACAAAATTATCCCATTAAAATTGTATATTTTCCATTCAATTTGCTTGAGTATTATACATTAACAATTACATTGTTTTTAACTTTGTTATGTCTTCTCTGTCAGCAATACAAAAACAACTACATTGTATTGTTTAGTATTACACAAAAACAGTTACATTAGTGAGTGATAGCTTTTGTTATGTTTGTCTTCTCTATCAATAAAATTCCTCAATTTATTTCTAATTTTGTGCTTGTGATCAATTTTATTTAACTACATAGCAATCCATAAAAAACAAAATAAAAAAGTCAATAGATGAAAGGAAAAACAACAAAAAATTAGCACATCAAAATTGTATATTTCACATTCAATTAGCTTTACTATTATACGAAAGCAACACAAAAGGAAAAATAAAATAAATAAATAAGGTGTATTTTTTTTCTATCTTTTTCTCTTCAGAACCCCACTCATCGTATCCCTTTTCTAATTTTCAGAAAAACGCCCGTTGTTTTTGGCCCACCATTTGAAACTATCTCAAACCAAAAATGCCATTAAAAAATATCTTCATCCTTATCCAAATCCAATCCAATCCAACACTGCCTATAAATAAAGTACTTAATTAATCAACCCAATTTAGAGGCACACGCATCAAAAACTAATCCGATAAAAAAAAACCCATCTGCAATAATCTTAACGAAGAAGATGATACAAGCGGCGCCGCCGTTAAATTCTTCGGCTTTCAGCTTTACACAGTGTTCGAAGTCGTCCTCATCAAGAACCGCTTCGTGGGCTTCAACCGTTTGCTGTACTTTTTCGAGAAAAAATGCGTACATACCAAAGCTGGAGCCTTTCGACAGAAGCAAGATCGATATCGCTCTAAAGGAGCGGCCTTTGATTGAAAAAACTGAGAATGAAATCACGGGTGAGTTCTTGTTTTTTTTTTTTCGGCTTGTTTCTTGTTTTTTTGGGTATATTCTTGCGTCTTTTATGGTTTTAGAAGTGGCTAAGTTGATGGCTTTTTCTCTGTGGATGAAATGTGCTTAGGATTGGTGCTTTTCTTTTTCTGTAACTTTTGTGTTAGGTTTCTAGTGTAATTTTGCTCTTTTGAAGAAAGAAAATTGAGGACAAATGGGAGGATTTTTGTTAAAAATGTATGACGGTCACCCGCCTGACTGTTAGGCTGCCTTGTTCAAGAATCTGTGTGTATGATTGTCGAAATAGTGTAATCTCTGCCAGTTGAAGAAAATAATAGTGATCTTACCTTACAAAATGAAGTGTCTGTGTGTCTTTTAAGCAGCTTTTTATACAACAGTTCAATATCTGATTTCAGTAATCTTACAAAACGCGCTTGGTTTGCGGATTGTGTGCAATAGGTTAAAAGGCATTTTTTTTTTTTATCCGTGTTGTTTGTTAATGATCTTTAGGAACTAACAGTTGGTCTAATCTTGATTTGATTGGATCAAGAGTAGTAATAACTAATAACTGGTTTTTTCTGATGTGGTTTCAAGATTATTGTTTGAAGCTTGAAGGAGACGAATGCTATAGCTGCTGGATGGCTTATTTCGAACTCCAAGATCTTGAAGTGAGTTGTTTTTAACTCGACTTCATGAATTTTAACATGTTAATATTATATAGGCTATGTTTGTTAACCAAATAAATTAGCTTATTTGGTTAGCTTATAAGCTTCTTGTATTCAAATAAGTTTCGTTTGGTAGGACGTGATTGTTTTAAAAAAATCGAGCTCATCTCATGAGCTTATTTGAAAAGCTTTATCAAACACTTTTATCACATAAGCTAGCTTTTCAGCTAGAAGTCATAAGCTCGAAAATCACTCATCAAACTCAGCTAGTTTTACGACACTAAACATAGAATGGCAAAGTTTTAATATCAGTTGTTGGATTTTTTTTTTTCTCTCTTTTCAGAAAGAGATGCCCAAGAATGATGTGGAGAGTCTGATAGTCGAAGCAATCGAAACAGGCGGAATGAAAATGCTGATTAGCTACATTCATGGAGTCTCGGCCATTTACAGGAGGGCGAAGAAGGAAGGAAACAATTCAGGGAGTCCGGTGAAGAAGATCGATTCAGTGAGTCGGGCGAAAATCGAGAGCACGGAAGAAAGGCGGTGCCCAATTCCCGATGGGTTGCCGAAAACGGAAGAGGAGATGAAGGAGGAAGAGGAGGCTAAAATGCCGGATTCGCCCTTCACGAGACTGCTTAGGGCCAAGGGACGATATCCCGCTTGGTACACCCCTAGACCGGACCACGAGACCGATTGAGATCGATCCACGAGTTCATAATGTATGTATGTATGTGAATTGAGTGTGGTTAAATGCTATGGGTTGGTTTCATTATGGTCCTTTAGCTTGTTGAGGGCAGATTAGAATGTAGGGTTAGTTTTGTGTATGAGCTTTTCTATTGTGTCTGATATTGTAAATAAAGTTGCTACTTTTGTATTGTGTATTGGGGGCTATAAAAAGATATACAATAGTCTAACCTAATCAATGTATATATTGCAAATGAAAAAAAAAAAGAAAAAAAAAGCATCACCTATTTTTATAGCATTCCCCAATTTCCCTCGGAGGGAGGGATGGAGAATGCAATCAAAATCCCCTATATTTTTGTGCATAGAACTCACACATACCCTCAAATCCAATTGTGCCTATGATTGTTTCTAAAACAAAGTTCCTTCGAACTTTCAACCCCTCTCCACAAAACATGTTCCTCCTCCACACCCATAAAGTTCCCAATTCTCCATGTAAAGAACAAATTTCTTACTATAAGCAACCTTGGGCTTGTCCTTAGGGTGTCCGGCATAACAACAACCCCTCGTGAAGCGAAGCCTCTCGGATGCTACCTTCTTCTACTTCGCCTACTTGCTAAACACGACCATCGTGTTTGACGTAAGCTCAAAAGACTGTGGGGGACCTTCCCCAAGGCATGGAGTCAATGCAAAGCTTGAAGGTGTTCAACATTGCTAAGAACAAGTTTAGGAATGACGTTCCGAACACCACGTGTGTACCCTGCCGAGCCTCAAGAACTTTACATTCTCGTACAACTATTTTGACCCCAAGGCAATGACTGAACTTGTGGTCGCGGATAAAGAGAACTGTTTCGCTCAGGAGAAGAAGCAAATGTCGGAAGGTTTTGAGCGAGAAGGTGGACTGTGAAGCTACTGAATGCCCGCAAGTGGGGGAGCACCGAAGCCCAAGCCACCGAAGAAGGGTTCTCCACCAAAGGCAGAGGCGCCAAAGTATGAGCCAAGTCACGAGCCCCAACCTTTGCCCCACCCAATCAATCCTTCACCCTCACCAAAACAAATGCCAAATGCTCCCGAGGTGCTTGCTTTGCTGCCAACTATTGATGGGACCCACGAGTCGGATCCACCACAAGTTGCCTCACCGCCACCCACCCATGTTTTCTCTCCACCACCATCGGTTCAATCACCACCACTTCCACCACCCATCCACTCTCCACCACCACTCGTCCACTCTCCACCACCACTGGTACAATCACATCTTCCATAACTCTTCCATTCCTTCACTTCGCTTCGCTTCGTTCGTTGGGACGACAAAGTTGAGACAGCCTACCTAGGGCCGCCGCCATTGGTACAATCACCACCCCATCCACTCTCCACCACCACCGGTACAATCACCACCTCCACAACCCATCCATTCTTCACCGCCATCGGTACAATCACCTCCTCCACGACTACCTGTCAACTCTCCACCACCACTCGTCTACTATCCACCACCGCCACCGCCAGTATAGTCATCTCCACCACCACTCATCCATTCTCTGCCGCCATTGTTACAATCACCTCCTCCACCACCACTCATCCACTCTCGACCACAACTCGACCACTCTCCACCACCGCCAGTAAAATCACCTCCACCACCACCACAACCCACCCATTCGCCGCCACCACCACCATCACCTTCATCACCGCCACTAACACCGGCGCCGGGTAACTATCCACCGCCACCTGTCTTCTCTCCGCCACCACCCACTTCTACAATATACCGCTCACAAATCGCCGCCATTGCCGGCCATCCCGAGCTCCAATGAGCTTTAAACTTTTGTCCTTTTATATATATATATATATATATATATATATATATATATATTACTAGTACCAGTTCAAAAATCAATGTACAAAGCCAACTTTATAAGTTTTGGGTTTTATTTTAGATTTAAAATCTCATATGTGCTTCTATATTAAAGTCTTTTCAAAATTAGCATTTTAATATTTAAAAACTAATCAAAATAAACTATTTTAGTAAGATAATTAGCTGATAATTCAAATACGTTCTAATTTAGTAATTTCGAAGTATTGTGTGGCTATAATTCTAAGATATTATCGTTCCACGAGCTATTTTCCTCTGCACGCACAGTGGCTCTACTCGCCAGAATCTAGCGACCTCAATTTACCGAGGTATGAATATCTCGCTCATGGTTAACAGTATGGTAATTGATGGTCATCCGAATTTACATTATGGACTTATGTGAATTGTATGATTATATGTGCTGTTAATTGATGTTCGTGCTTCTACAGGTTATGTATCACATTGTTTAAGTGCCTAATTTCATGGGTTGTTGATTAATTGTTTGTTTCCCGATGCAAATCTAGTTTCAGATTTATAATTGATAACCTATGTAAAAGGTTCTGGTCGGATTTGAAAGTTTAAGATACATTTTGGTGTTAAGTATTTACTGGATGAGGATTTGTTTAGTTTTTATTATTATTTGGAAATCTGCATTTTGCCCATTCGAACTGTTTTTTGATTTCTAGATTACTGTTTTGGTCAACTGCATCGATTGTCCCCACAGTTGTAGATGAGAATTCTGGATTAGGTGCTGTTAGGTAAAAAAAATTTGAGTACTATTCTTATTAGCAGCTATCTGCTATAAGATAAACCACGATATGAAGTAATTTTGTTCTTATTGTGTCACTAGATGATAATATTTTGCTGTTGTAACGTTTATGCCATTTTATAATATTCAGGATTCATTTTCTTCCCATTTTCGAGTTCGGAATATGATTTGGTATTCGTTTGTAATTCTCATTGTACTCAATAAGTTGAACTGATTTCTTGATATGATGACCTGAATTGCACTTTCTCTTTAGAATGTATAGGTGTTGCCTGCTCTAGAGTCCACGGATAAGTGAAGAAACGACAGTGTATTGCATAATTGTACTCAAATTGGAGAGAAACTAACTGGAGAGAAGTGAATGAGAGCCTGCCACGTAGCCTTTCGCACGCTCAGCGCTACGTCATCTCGTGAACCGGTAAATTCAGACCTTAAATAGATATATAAACAAATAAATAAAAATATAAAAGAAAGTCCCGCCATGCAATACGCCGGAACAATTTCGCCGCCGGTGCTAAATTTCACGTCGGTAAAATTGCCGAGAATTTTCAACTCTAGAGTTCCGGTTTTGCTTTCTGAAGGGAGAGCAAATGATGTTGCTTTCTATGACCATGTCCGTAAGAGACAACATAATTTGTCTGTTCTTTCTGTGTGTGCACGGAGATTGAGCCGTCATAGGAAATCCGTTACTTATATAACAGCGGCCTCGAGTGGTGGTGAAGGCTCGGTGTCTGAGCTGGACGATAATGTGAGAAAGTTAGTGCAGGCTTTGCTATGGACTGCAGAGGGCATCTACATCGTTTGGCTGTTCTTACTTCCCTATGCTCCTGTCAGTAACTAAGCCCTTTTTCTTTTAGACATTTATGCTTGGATATAAATTTTTTTGTATTTGTTTGGATTTTTTAGATTGGTATATTTTGAAAAAAAATGGTATGGTTAGTTGGTAGTGGGATTTTGATTCTGTATTAAAATAATATTTAAAATAAAATAAGTAAAGTCGATTTGATGTAAAAGTAGGAGAGATGATGTGAAGTGATGATTAGTTAAAATTATGTGAGTGGATGAATAGTGAATTAAAGTTGATGTAATGTGTAAGAATGATTGAGGTATTATTTAATTAAATTGATAATATTGAGGATAATGGAGTTGAGTTAAAGTTGAGTTAGATTTGAAAAAAAAAAAAAAAAAAAAAGTGTTTGGTTAAAAGTGATTGGATTTTTTTAGAAAAATTTGTATGCAAGCATCCCCGTTACTGGTTTTATATCTATTAAAATATACGTTCATACACACATACATGGCAATATTTCTTAGTAGCATCTGTTAATCAACCTAGTTTGACAATGCGTGATGTAGCTTGCAAAGTAGTGCTATGTTAAGTTGTTCTTGGAGTACTTATACAAATTTGTATGTGAATATGATATACGATATTTTGTGTCTAGAAAAATTTCTTGTTTATTTGAGTTTAGTGTGGTGGATTCTTGAATTTTCATAGCTCTTTTACACTTCATTAGTCATATAAGTGTTTTAATGATGGTCTTAATTGGCGATTTCGGTTTAGATAGCGAATTTGTCGAATTGGCGATTATATTATATGCACAGTTTTAACTATCATTGGCGATTCATTAGATAATTACTACCTTTGGTCGAGTATTTTCTGCATCTTTTCTAGGATGTTGTTACTAAAGTACCTTGATGATTTTATAAGATGAAACCTTGCCTCTTATGATTCTGAAACATTTTACTGCCAATGGATGAAAGTGAAGAGTGTGTTTGAAGCTGATGCCTTTTGTATTATTCCAATACTTGAAGTTATTTTTTCTGCCAACTTTAAATCTTAAATAACCCGTGCACACCTTGCAGGGAGATCCTGTTTGGGCCATTAGTTCAGAAACAATTAATGAATTGATCGGCCTCTCTCTCAATTTCTTCTTCATACTGCCATTGACAAACATTGGTAATATTATTCTTCAAGTTCGTTGTAAAATTCTTTTTCCATTACTTATTTCGAATCTCTCTGTTGATACATATGTAACAAATTAGAAAACCAATTTCGAAAGTGGGGAATCTGATCTTTTAAGTCATATATGTTACATATTATTTTTATAAATTTGCATTGTCAACTAAAAAGACAAATTATTGTAATTTAAGGATTTTTTTTAGGCATGTGCTTGTTTGTGTTGAATGCTCTTTTCCATCCCAAGTCCCTTAATCTTTGTGAGCTGATTTCCCGTAGATAAGTTGTCATTACATTATAATTTTAAGGTATCTTGATCGATTTTGCTTTGAACTTATGGCAGAATAGCCGGTTTTCATTTAATCGAGGCACCGGTGCTTCATCCGGTAAAAGGCTTTTTACTGCAAGCGTTTTAACAATTTCAATCTTTATGCTGCTTTACGCTCATGTTGTGGGCTGATTTTCCAATATATCAATATGTTTATTTACTCAGATGTCCGAAGGCTTGTTCAACTTTGTAATTGGGTGGACAGTCATGTTTTCTCCTCTGCTTTACACTGATAAAAGGAGAGACAGATTCAAGGGATCACTTGACGTTCTTTGGGGCTTTCAGATGTTCCTCACAAACAGTATGTTAATATTATCGACCCATACTTTTCCTGAACGACTACAAAATCTACCACCTAAGATTTGCCTAATTACAGAAAAGAAAAAATCTTAGATTTGGACAAGTGTTACAAGCACCCCCTTGAAATTAGGCTAGCCCGAGTGGCATTTTTTTTTTTTTTTTNTAATCATACTTCTGAATCAAAAATGCTTGTTTCAGTTACCTATAGTGTATAACAACACTTAATATTGTGAAAAAGATTGAAATTCATTTCAGAAAATATACATTATGTTTTCTTGAAATTTATCTGGGCAACAGGCATTCTGTATAATGTATCACCCACTCTATATAATTATTTCCTTTCCATAAATAGTGTGAATCACTGAATTGTGTTTATTCTTCTTCTTATTATTATTATCATTTTGACCATTTAGAAGCTCGCGCTCTAGCAAATTATCCAAATCCAATAATTTCATGATTATTAAAATTCTGGTCATTTATTTTTTATTACAGCATTCTTAATCCCTTACATGGCTTTACGTCTGAACAAGGCTGATACGGAAAACACACCAAAAAGCACCTCTCAGCTGGGTTCAGTTATGACGAAAGGGGCAGCTGCAGTTGGGCTGATTAGTGGGCTTGTATGTTTTTTCTCGATATTGTGGGCCTTATATGGTTGTGCGGATGGAGATTTTGGTGATTTACGAGCGAGATGGGAGTTCGTGTTGGGCTATCTTGCGTCCGAGAGGCTTGCTTATGCTTTCATTTGGGATATCTGCCTGTACGTAGTTTTCCAGCCATGGTTGATTGGCGATAACTTGCAAAACCTCGAGAAGGATAAAATCGATTTAGTTAAATTTCTTAGGTTTATACCTGTAGTTGGCATGATTGCTTACTGTCTTTTCTTGAAAGTTGACAAGGAGAAGTAGCTGTTAAGTATATGTTATGTTTAGATTGTAATGTTATTATACTGAGGTTAAGTAGACTCCATTAACAAAAGTCAAAATGGATCATCAGACACAATAAAGGAACTTTTAAGTTTGAGTAGGTCATTTGTTTGTATGAACAAATGATCTTTTTTTGGCCAAAATCTATTTTTACTTAAAAAGCAACCCAGCGAAATTGGACAACCATGGGGTGTATATATGAACCATTCTTATAAACCATGGGGTGTATGTATGAACCATTCTTATAAGCAAGATTTAGAAAACTGTACCGGCCGATTGGATCAGGAACTGGTCAGCTGATTGGTCAGGTTTGTTCGAATGAACCGGTTGTCAGTGAACCGGTCAACAACCGGTTGAACTGGTCAAAACTGGCTGGAAATTAGCCGGTCGGACAATTTGATCCAATTTTTATTTAAAAAAATATATTGTAATATATTTAAAAAGATTTTTAATGTACATAAATGATACATATTTAAATATAATGGATATATAAGTTCTTGTCAATTAGTTTAAGTATTTGAAAGCTTTAAATTGACCAAATATATAATTTTTATTATATAAAATATTATATATGTTTAAAAATGTTACTAAATTAAATAATTGTACAACCGATACAATCATTGGCCAGACAATAAACCATTGAACCAGTGTAGCTTGACTGGTTTGATGATCGATCCAGTTTTTAAGTAAATAGTTGTTTCAGATAATCGATCTGATTTTCAGAAGTCAGAACATTGATTAGAGGTAGGTAAATGGTTGTTTCAACAATTGCACGGTGATATATTGACCTTGGCATTCAAATAATTTGAATTACGATAGCGGATAACTCATTGAATTACCCCATCTAATTAATTTATCGAATTAATGGATTATGCATAAATATTTGGTAAATAAATTAATTATTTGACATGTAATATAATTAATATTGCAATCCTGCATTCAAACAGTCTCCTGAAGTGATTTTTTTTAGGTACTTTTTTTTATTCCAAAAAGCTATTTTAAATTGTTATTTACGAAACAATAATATTAGAAGTTATTATCGGTTAAACGTATAATTCATTCTCAAACATAAAGTTTGGCCAAAAATTTTGACTACCAAATAAGAATTGTTGCATACAAAAATTTAAAATCAATATAGTTTTTGTCAGTTAGTTCTACTTAACTCGTTGCATAAAAATATTAACATATTGTACAAAAATACTAGATAGATGCATACAAAGATCAGTATATTGTATTAAAATACTAGATAAATCTAGGTATACCAATTAAAATCTAGAACAACTATGTACATTACATACTATTTATATTGGCACCAAGATATATCACATGATTAATCTATATAGTATATTATATAAAGTAATATTTTCCAAACCTCTCTTCAGAGATTTATACTCTCCTTCCCATCTTCTATCCTAAAAAAATATAAATAGAAGCATGATATTTAATAGTATATGTACACATATTTAGTATGAGATTTAATAGTATGAGTAAGCACTTTAACTTACATATATGACCGGCTAGCTAGCGTGCTTGCACAATACATCTAAACATCTCTGTAATTGCTTTTCGTCTTTTGTTCTCTATCATTCCTCAACCTTTTCAGTCATTCCTCAACCTTTTCAATCTTTCTTTTTACTATTATTTCAGAAAATATAAAAATATTAACCTTTTCAATCTTTCTTTTTACTATTATTTCAAAAAATATAAAAATATTGCATCACTCTGTCTTAGATGCAAATCATATTAAAACTAATAATCATATTAAAACTAATATTATATATTATATACAAATCATATTAAACCTAATATTATAAAATATAAGTGATGCTTTTGATTGTATTAATTAAATATATTTAATATCGTGCAACTTGGACATAACTTACCGTAATTGAGACCATGTCATCAATTTATCTATGTAATTAATATTCACGTGTGAGATTTTGTAGTGTTTCAAACAGTTATTCCATTAGGATATTTATCAATTTTCTTTTTAATTGTACAATATAAAATTTAAATACTTAATTTTTAAATGTTATATTATTATCTAGACCATAAAAAATAAAAAAAATTTGCTCAATATTTATTCCAAAAATAATATAGATTTTTTTATAGTCATTTTATTGCTAAACTTAGTTAATAAATTGTTAGTTACCTTCTATTTAATTGTGGAATTATTTTATTTAATTTTTTTACACATGAAATGGGTCGGGTCGGGTCGGGTTGGGTCGGGACCAAGTAAAACTCAAATTTAAGAATTTGAGTTACCCGGTTCCCCGACGAAGACCCGATAGCTTGTTGGGTAAAACCCAACCCGAACCCAAAGATCACTAACGCGTAACGGGTCGGGTAAATAATATGCGAGTTGGGTTCGGGTTTGCCAAAACCCGCACCCAGCCCGACCCGACCCATTTACATTCCTACTGAGATGGGAACTAAGAGCAGTTCTGTTATATTATGTACTAGTACAATACCCGTATAATATATTGAGTGTTTGATAAAATAATTATATGTACAACAAAAAATGAAAGAAAAAAATATTTATATATTTTGTTTAAGTTGCAAAAATTAAACAAGGAACAATATAAAACAGTTTATAATAAAAAACTAAGTGAATTAACAATATTATTTTAAATTCTGAAAACTAATTTATATACATCAATAATTTTATTTATAATATTTTTATTTAAATCACATAAGAGAGTAATATGGACAAATCACAAAATTTGAAAATTAAGATAACATGCACACTATAGAAATAAGATAATAAATAGATTTATAAAGATTAGTGTAAATATATCAAATATGTGTATATGTGGCAATCCAAATCTAAGCTATATGGTATAAAAAAATTAGTCATTTTTATTCAAGTCATATTACAAAACATAACATTCTGCCACATACAAAACGTGAAAAACTGTCACTTAAGCTCAACGCGTTATGAAATTATATATAAAGGGAATTTATTTAGATGCTCTAATGTCAGTATCCCAACTTACTAGGGGCCTCGATATGTTCATATGAAGGATAATGTACATTATTTAACGCTACATTTGTCTGCTTTATTCTCAATTGGTCCAATAATTATTATACAATTTGGATTTTGATGCTTCCTTTATCATTTAATTATGTAAATTGTAAACCGTGTTTTCTTCAGGCATATCCGAGGTGGTAGAAGCTTATGTGGCGGCCATTAAAGGTATAGCTGCTGAAACACCAAAAGTTGTTAGTCAGAAATCTGTTCAGGACAAGGCCAGCACTTTTAAGGAACGTCTTAATGCAGATCACAATGCAGATCACAAAATGGCCGTGGGTAAGTTGCAAGACGGGCTTCATTATTTGACCTATTTGGTTCTTATTCTTTCTAACTCAGATGCCTTCTGCTTGAGTGCGTGTAGCAAAAGAATGGAAGAACTTGTAAATAGTTTGTTAGAACTCGTGTTGTTTCTAGTTTTTACTCTGTCACACTCTGGAAAATCAAAGAATAATACATGTATTTTTAATTTCTTTCAACTGCTTGTATACCCAGTTTTAGTGAAGGGGAAGAAAATATAATCGAAACTCTTAGCGTGATTACGGCACTTGTTACATTCGTTGGTCTTTCCTCGTCTTATTTTCTTTCTATTACGGCTAGGCTATGTTTAATAAACATAAGTTTGATCTTATAATTGATAGGTTATGACTTATAGTTGAAAACAGGGACGGACCTAGGGAGGGGCCCTAGGGGCACATGCCCCTTTAATAATTAAAAAAAATAGTGCATATATATTTATATTATAAAAAGAGTATGTTATGCTATTTATTAATAAGATTAATTAGTAAAATGTTTACTTTCTCCAAATTTTGTATGTAATTAATTCTTAAGTAAATAAAAAGGTGGCAGTTGTTCTAATAATGAAAATATCACATTAATTCTTTTACAATTCCATCTTTGAGCATATTTTTATTTCTACTCACATGTTGAATTTATTAATAAATTATATTTTTAATTTATATAACCCTCTATTTATATTTAAGAATTAAAAAAAAATTGTTTAGAGCATTTAGAACTTTGATGCAAAGTTAACTTAAATAAGATTTATAAACTCTTGTTATTTGTTTGGATACATATTGTATTTTAGGCGTTCTTATAAATTAGCTACTAAATTGTATTTGTCATTGATTTTTTCAACTAATTTGATTTAAATTTTTATGAAGAAATATTATAAATATAAGTCTACCAATGCTGAAATGGAATGAAATATTAAATGAAAAAAAAAGTAAATATTTGTTAGAATGATTTATTTAATAATATTAGAAATAATGTGATTATAGAATATACAATATATGAGAACACGTGAAGAATGATTATCGTTTTTGTTTTTATATTTTTATTTTGTATAAATTATGTTTGTGCCCCTTTAATTTTTCGAGTCTACGTCCGCCCTTGGTTGAAAAGTTAGCTTGTATGATAAGAAATTATGGTAAATTTAGCTAAACTAGTTGAAATAACGAGTTTATTTGAAAAGCTACATAAGAGAAACTTATGAAATAAACTCGAGCTTTTTAAAAAAACTTGTTCCATCAAATCCATAGATGAAGCTTATAAGCTAATTAATAATCTAACCTATGGTGTTTAGCACACTCTAAGTCACTCTAACTCGCCTATGATTAGTTTTGCCAATTTATGATATTTAAATTAAATAAAGTATGCACAATTCCTCATCAGCAATTCGACATGAATATCTGTTGACAAGCTTCAGATTCAAGTAGATGATATTAAATGTAGTTAAAAATTTATAAAAGTTCTCCGCTTACAAAAAATTTTTGTTGATAAACCTTAAATTACAATACAACCACCAAAAAATCAGAGACATGGAATAAAAGATGACTCACACAATAATTCAATAAAAAGCAATCACAGGCATATACATTCAGTTGTTCTTTTTTCTAAAAAAAGAAGAATCACACAAGCACACAGGCAACGAATGAACTTTAGAAACAAAATATTGTTGCAAATTTCTTTTTGATCAGCAGATCAAACACAATACTTGTTCCTTTCAATTACACAGATCCATTATCAATCGTTGCCTCGTGATTTGCGGGTCGTTTTGTTATGAATGGTTTAAGCTATGAGTGGGTACCATTTTTTGAGTCATTGGCAGCTAAAGTACAATAACTGAATAACAAAATAAAGACAAGTTTTTCGGCATCTCATTGACAAAACTAACCTCTCATTCTAATTCAGTGCTCTCCTAACCGTGCGGAAAGGCCCTTCACAAAGCTCACCAACTTCATCTACACCTCTTGCCGAGAAGGTTCTAGAAAAGGGTTGTATACATCACATCGAATTTCTACAAAAAGTGCAACCATTTCAGCTTCTTTCCAAGCTTAAACACGAACCATCAAAACTAGCTGCAGCCTTCAACTTTTGCTAAATTCCCAACTGACAATCGATACCCCTGAAATATGCAAACTTTTGAGATACTCTCCAACTAAGTTAGTTGATCCTTTCAGGTTTATTAAACCCATCTTCATCGCCAATTTAAGCTCACCAAATTGCTAAAAGTACAACATTTGAGTTGCCCTCCAACTAGGTTGGGTTATTAAAACCCATCTTCTTCATTGCCAAGTTAAGCTCACCAAATTTGTAGGGATCAACGTTATAACCTCACCCAAATTGATGACGTGTCAATTAGCTCCAAAATGGTCTTTTGGTGCCACGTGTAGCCTTTTCATCCATTAAACGTGTTTCGTTCAACAAAAACCCGAGCTTCATGGATTTATCAACTCTAGCAAAATCATCATTGACCCTTTTTACCTGATGAGGCCACATCATCACCGACACAACCGTAATTTTTAATTTTTACCACCGTCAGTTTCACATTCCCCCTTTTCCCGATTCTTCAATTGATCGTCTGTAGCTGAAATATTCTCGTTTGTCGATGATGAGTCAACTTCCACGTCAGCCCCGGGAATCTCGACACATCTGTGATCATTATTATCCTCTGCTTCTTCACAGTCTGCACGCTTACGTTTAGCAATAAACTGATTATCGACAGATGGCTCGTGAGCATCATCACCCAAAGCATTTCCATTTTCTCCACTGATTGGCCTTTTCAATTGCGTCTGTACCCAAACAGCTAAAGTAACCGCATGATCACGGACTAAAGAATCGAACGGAGTAGAGTGCAGCATATTAATCAAGGACTGCCCATACTGGAACATACTCAAGGATGGAGAACTGAATCGATTTTCACGACAAAATTTGATTACTTTGAAAACGTGCTCGCACAAATTCCCGTTTTCGGACCACTCACAGTCGCAGATTGCGTACTCCGAACCAGGGTTTCGAACTAAATGCACTGTATTTTCCTGATTCTGCTCAGTAGTAACTTTAGCGTATTTGCTCTCCATTGTTACGCAAGAATCTGGAATAGTTAACGACTTACCCCAGGCAGTGGGGCCGCTCATCCACTCATCTTTCCTGTACCGTTCGTAATCCTCTTTCTGTGAGTACTCGTCGAGCCAGAAATAAGAGTGAACTTTGTTGAATAACTTGTTCACGAGCCAATCCGCACGTCTATACACGCTTTTGTCTTTTTCGTTGGTGAGCCGAATCTTGAGCTGCTTGTGATAAAACTCCATGGCAGCACAAGTTTCTTGGCTAGCAAAGGGAAGAGTTTTGAGAGCTCGTGTCCACGTACCTGATCAAAAGAATTATAAATGAACCATAGAGAAATGCTTAATATATGATTTGAATAATAAATCTGTATCATGGTATGGATGACAACGGTTCGTTCAGCAGGAGTTTGGCCATCTGGTGGAATAACATATATTTTCTAACTGTTAACTTTTTTAGGGAAAAACAATACCTATCCTCGGATACCAAATTGCCTTGAAGTAGTCCATGAACTCTGCAGCATCTACAAATTCCACAATGAAATCTTCGAATGCGTTGGCCGTGCCAGCTCCTTTACAGGTTGTTTGGACAGCATCACCGAGTTGTTTGGCTATCTCTGCACGTTTTTCAGCATCTGAGACTCTCTTCATCAAATTCTTATGCCACGAATGACGAACTCTCCAAAAGCATATCAGTACTGAGCACTCAAACACTTCCCTGCAAACCAACAACAAGCATCAAACTTTTGTGAAATCAAAATAAGGAAGACAAACACAAAATGAAGCAGATATTAATGTTCCTTCGGTAACAGTATCGAGCTAAATTGTCGGCAAGCGCATTTAAACTGAAACCAAGAACAAGATGCAGAATAGATGTTCACCAAAAGATGTCTTATATGGTTCTCGCCATTTACATGATCAATGCAGCATTAGTATATCAATACTACTTCTCTGGAAATAAGGACTCGTAATAAACTCCCACAAGACACACATGAAGGATACAGTTTTTTTTTTTTTTTAAAGAATGAAGGGTACAGTTAAAGTCTTAAAGAAACTGCATAAACTGACATGACACAATGAATTTAAAGCGGGACCTGATAGCCAGGATATCAGCTGAAGGCTCATCCACAACAAATCCGGCCAATTTCCAAGTTGGGTCCTTTGCACAAACTCTATTGTAGAGGGCCCGCATCCACCTGTGTGTATCTCTGCTTGCAAACCTAGTTGTAATTACCCAAGCCACCGGGATAGCCTTGTTGTCCGAGTTGAACACAACAAGGCTATGAACAGGATACTAGTTATCAACAACAAAAATATAAAAATTTAGTGGCAGTAAATAAAATCAAGCCCTACATATTCCGATAAACCTAATAGATATACTGTAAAATTAATTGTAATATTATATTCCCTCCTATTCTTTTCATTTGTCATTTTGGCTTTATTGACCATTAATCAAATAAATGACGTTTTGGATCTTTTATACCTATTTTTCCCCTCATTTAACTAATACACTACACGTTTTGGGAGGAAAAAGTTGTGGAATACGATGAGCTTTCTCTCTTAAAAGAACATAAAAAAACTAAAAATATAGAAATTAATTAATGTTAACTAGTGTGTAGCCCGTGCGATGCACAGGTAAATAATATTAAATAATAATTATAAATTAACGATGACATTAAACAATATTAACTAATATTTATAAATTAAATATGAGGGTAAACAATATTAACTAATAATTGTAATTAAGGTGTGGAATTAATATGTGACCTAATTTATCGTATATTGGTTGTAAACAATATAAAATTATCTTGTATAAAATAACATAAAAAATGTAATGTTTAAAATATTAAAAACACCTAAAATATTATATAACGTATGTAAAGTATCTAAAATTTTATATATCATTATTGGAGATGTGAAGTCACCTAAAATCATTCTAAACTATTTTATAAATAAAACATGTCTAAAATTATTTAAAAAAATCTTACCGAAAATATATTATTCAATTTCCAGAAGATGATGATAAGTATAAATTTGAATTTTAGAATCCACGTGAGTATTATTTTCTAGATCCGTGTACTATACAAATTATTCATTATGTTAATTTCCTGTGAACTTCATATTGATTTATTGATTTTATTTTATTTCTATACAAAGTTGATCGTCTCATTTTGTTTTACCATATTTTCGTGGAGATTTAACAAAGTCGATTGCATTTATAAAATGATTTGGACATCAACCTACAATTTATAATGGAGTTTTCAAAATTGTGTACTTAACAAATAATATATTATCATTAAATATTTTTTTTTAAATGCATAATTATTGAGACTGATAATTTGATAATTATTTTACCTTTTGAAACTGAGTATAGAAAAAACAATATATTGGTAAACAAAGAAGTGATAAACATTACCAAGTTTATTATCACACGTTCCAAATAAAAAAATGTGATGATTAGTGGAAAATGATATTTAACGAATAGCATTTAATATATTTTTTTTGGAAGGCATAAATTTTGAATTGAGATTTTATAAATATAGAGACTGAGATTTTAATGTTCTTCGTTGTTTCTATGAAAAAATAAAATAAAAATAAAAAATATACAGTTAATAGATCTTAGCTAGAATTTTTAAATAATAAAATTAGTTAAAGCCAAAAATTTAATTTAACATTAAATGTTGTATGATTTTTTAAAGATAAAAATAAAAAAATAAAAAAAATTATTATTTATAGGTTGCATTAAATTCTCTCCTATTTTTTTGCTACTATTTTTGTTAAATGGTAATTCTTATTATATATGTATAGATTTGCTTTAAATAAGACTAATATTGGCAAGAAAAAAATTCTTAATTTATGTGTTAAAGCACAAAACGACATTTGAAAAAGAATAAGAGGGAGTACTATATATCGCACGGACCTTCAACTTATTAGAACCGAAACTCGAGTCACAAACCAAGAGGCGGCAGTTTCCAAACCGAATCATCTGCTGCAACTGCCACTCGGTCTGAATGCCAAGCGTAAAAGGGTCCGAGTCAGAAAAATCCTCGTAAAAGAAGACGCTGCTCCTGTGGCTCTCGACCCATAAGCTGATGCTGACCTCATCGTCTTCATCCAGCTCATACGAAGACCGTCTTATGCTTCTCTCCTGCCTACGGACATATCTGTGTGTCAATAGGTCATCCCTATTGCACGGACCCCCTTGCTTTTCGACCGACTCGTTGTGCCTCTGCATGATGGTTTCGACCGAGACCCCCACGTGAAGAAGGGACAGTACACGAAGGCGAAGCTCTTCTGAGATGTAGGGGGCATACATGGCGCGGGTCCCGGCGGCTTTCTCATCAAGGGGCCCATGACATGGCAGGCCCTTCTTGTCCACGTGCTTGTCCTGATTGTATATGACGAGGGCCACCGAGGGGTCAGCAATCAGGCGCTTCACGATGAAGTGGCACGTGCAGCCCCTCTTTGTGTTGGGCCGGCCCGCGGGCTTCTTTTTCGGCACGTAGGTTGTGCGGCTGGGACGTACGATGCCCCCTTTTCTGTGGTCGTCCGGGCCGAAGGAACACCAGTACCTAGCCAAAAAAGAAAATGAATAATAAAAATATACGTAGCGAGAGAGAGTTTGGAATAATATAAACAAATAAAGGTGATAATTCTTTAGGGTGTGATTGGATATCAACACCACCTAAAATAAAAAAACAATCAAAACTCAACTTTAAACCAACCTCACTATCCTCAATATTATCAATATAATAAAATAATATCAATCAATTATGCTTACAACTTTAATTCACTATTCATCAACTCACATAATTTTAATTGCCTATCATTTCCAATCACGTTTCTTTTATTTTTACATCAAATCAACTTTAATCATTTTATTTTAAATATTATTTTAATATAAACTCAAATTAAATGATGAAGATAAAATTACACCTTAATGATGAAGATAAAAACATACAGATAAGACATACAGGATATATTCGAGTATGCCATCGACTTTGGGTTTGAAGGGCATCTTCGGAGGACGCCGTCGCCTTGCCTCGACATGGAATCTTGTGGGGCATTCTTTGTTGTTAGATTCACCCCTGACGAAATCGTCCACCCTGGCGAAAGGGATCAAGGCGAGCCTGTCTATATTGTCACGCCAGCCTTCGACCCGTGACCACACGAGGTCAGTAGCACCAAACTCCAAGGTTGGAGGGCTCTGCACTGGCAGGGAGAGAATCTCATCCCATCTAGCCATCTGTAATATTAAAGACAGAAGAAAACAAAACCAAAGCACACTTGTTGAAAAAACGCACACTTTAGACGCACCAAAGGAAAAATAAAGGCAAACAGCATTGAGATGGTAAGCCAACTAGAACCATATGCCTTAAAATTTGCCAAAATACTTGCATTAAAGCATCTATTTCAAAGAAAAGTAGAATGGCAGGGATTTGACAGCTCAACATACAAGCCACGTAACCAAGAACACAAGGCGTAAAACAATAGGGAAACTGAGCATCAGAAAGAAATTCCTAACTGAGCATATAATCCATTCCTGGAATTGAAAAACACAAAATACCGTACAGACTGCAAAGTTGAGCAGAAGTTGATCATCAACACAGGGAAAAAATAAAAGAAGGTGAGACGAAATACCTTCGCTCTCAATTAGTTTTAGGGAGCCACCATTTGCCAGAAGAACGCCGGAATCAGGTCGTACGGCTGGAAAGCATTAGCTCTTTGAGGGTTTTGTTGGACCAAAGAAGTGTAATTGAGATCAATTGATAAAAAAAAAACTAAATTGATGCCCTAAAATTAGGGTTAGCCTGAGGCAAGCGCCTCTCTCTCAAGCAATGGAGACACCACTAGTCACTGAATACACAAACAAAATAAATGCAAACAAATTTAATGTTTTTATTATCTTGATATTTAATTAGAAATATTTTTAAAATCTTACTAAATGCAAGGTTATAAAAGTTGTTAGGCGCTCGTTAGCCGGCTGGGGCCAGCACAAGCACCTATGCGGGAACTAGTCAGGGCCTACGACGATTCGTAAAAAATATTTATAAATTTATTTAGATATAAAATAAACTATTTAGTCAAATACAAATATTATCTAAAATATAATTTATTCATAATTTATTGTATTAAATAAAGCATAATAATTATTTTTTCATATTGTAAGTAATATACAATTTATGCATAATAATAACAATCTATTTTTACTATAGCTAGTTTGTATAACTTTGTTCGCACAGAATATAATATAATATAAATAAATAAGATGAGATAATATTTAATATTTTTTATTTATTCATTTTACAATACATAATACTTTAATGTTTGATTAATATGTCGACGTACATTATTTCAAAATATAAAAAAAAAAAAATACAAATTTTAAATGTAATATTTGATAATTTTAATTATTTAGTATATTTCTAATATTAAAAATCTTGTTATGAATATTTTCTTTGTTATTTTGAATCATACTTTAACTAGTGGTTCGCTATCATGCGATAACAAATTAAATTACAATTTTATTGTTATATTTTGAAATGCAAAATAATTATTTAACTTCAATTTTGCACACATTGCTAATACGTTTTCAACCTATATATATGAGACAGAGTTACTTTCAAGTTTTCATCCAACACAAATATTACTTAATATATTTCATAACTTATACTATGAGATAAATTTAGGCTCATTTGTTAATTTCAAATGAAGTTTAATAAATAGGTTTTCATTTTATTTTAAATTTATGGCCCAACATTTCTCACCTATTTATTTAATTGGAATATAGTAATAATGTAGCAATTTATATGATAATAAAAATGAAATATCATAAATTTATAATTTTTTCAATAAATAAATCAATAATTGTAACCTCATCATCCTCTACAATATGCATATATTTATATCTAATATTATGTTCATTATCATAATTTATAGTCTTCTATCATTGAATAAAAATCAAGATTCACACATACCATTTCAACATTCTCAATATATGGCCGACTTCATAGGTGAGAATCTATTACAATCTTTTCAATGTCTCTTAAACCATGTATCATTGATTCGAGACCATGGATTACACACATAAACTTTGATAATTTAATGTCAACATAAAGCTTTATGTAATGATTAATTCCTACGTTTAAATATAAGAGGAAAAATATGCCATTTTATTTAATGGGAGTTTTATGTAGCCATTCAAATTTAACTAAAAAGTTTTTTTAGCAAAAAATAATTTGTTCATGCCATTTTAATTTTATTAAATAACTCATATTTATTAGGTAGGCGTTATTACATTAGAAAAATTAAATAATACTTTTAATATAAAATTAAAAATATAGTACCAAAATTATTGTTATTTTTTATACATATTAATATACATTCTTTATACGCTTTTGTATTTATTTTATTTTATTAACATAAACGCGACGTACGTTGAATTGAAAATTTGACTTGTTAATCTCACGTTCCAAAATGTATGGCAATAATTTAGTCACTTACTATCAAAATAAAATTCAAATATGAACTTTCCAAAAACGGATTCAATAAAATGGGCGGGAAGATTCATTTTCAAGTGTGGTTATCAAATTGTCCTCTTTCATATATGGCAAAATTTAAAAACAAAAAAAAAAAATGCCAATAAAAAAAATGGGCGCTTAGGTACCGCCTAGAGCACTGTGACCAACTTCGCAGCCGTCTAGTCGGTAAGGGTCTAGAAGAACCGAGGCCCGCCTGGGCAAAAATTATGACTTTAGTGTGCTACCTAGCACCTAAAGCGAACGCCCTGTTTGTTTATAAAAAAAAAATTGTTTTGTTTGGATTTTATTATTTGGTTTGGTTAATTTTAAAAAATGTGGTATGCTTAGTTGTTAGTGGGTATGTTAAAATAATATTTAAAATAAAATAATTAAAATTGATTTGATGTAAAAGTATGAGAGAGAGATTTGAAGTGATGGTTAGTTAAAATAACGTGAGTGGGTATGAGAGAGAGATTTGAAGTGATGGTTAGTTAAAATAGTGAATTAAGGTTGATGTGGTGTGTATGAATGATTGATCGATATTATTTAATTATATTGATAATTTTGATGATAGTGGGATTGATTTAAAGTTGAGTTAATAAGAGTGGTTGAATTAAAATGTTGGAAATTTTTTGCAAACTTTCATAAACAAACATGCTGCCCGATTTCAGAACATTGAAAAAAATGTTTGTTTAAAATGGTTTGTGTGAAATTCACATTTTATAAGTTCTCATTTTTACATCATCATTACACACAAAACTGCAAAGCCATATACCTCATTTCGACACACCACAATACACAAACGAATGAGCGGCAATTAACAATTTAACACATCAAATTTCAAATTACAGAAGGCCACGAAATGTATGCAAATTCACAGGCTATAGCATTCAAATTCACATTTCAGTTTCAGTTTCAGTAATTACCCGACCCTAAGGAGTGGCGGACTCAAGCCGAGGATCGCCGTGATCGCCGGTGTTCGCCGGAATTTTGGGAGAAACGGCGCCTAAGCTTCCCGGGGTTCGAGTGGTCTCCGAATTCTGTGACTGGTGGTCGCCGGTGAGTAGAGGCGATAGAGGGTTTAGGGTTAGGGTTTATCGTTTATTTGGTCTGAGCAGACGCTATTTCTGGTCTACTCTTAACTTATTATCAGATTTTTTTATCAAGACGAGCTGGCCCGGGGCCCGACCCGTGGCGGGGTTTAGTTGGGCTTCCTTATTTAAAGGGCTTCGGCTAATAATTTGTAGTTACCACTTAAGTATTTATGGGCCGTTGTTTAGTGTAATTTTCTACGCGTTTAGACCTTGGGCTTTTGTGGGGAGAAGTGGATTATAATTTTTTATTTTATTTGTAACTTGATGAAATGCATGTTAAAATAATTAATGCAAATTGATTTTTTCACTATTGAATGAATACCACCTTATAGTATGTGTGTGTATTGATCTAACGATGAAAATCCAGTAATTGTATTGCAATTGTGAGTAGGTCAAATCTTTTCTTTTGCATTAGTGAAAATTCAGATAATCTAATAATTAGACAAATTATTTTATTGTATTTTTCAAAAAAATGTATGTGCTTGTCACTTGTGGATTGATTTACATTATGTTTCAAATAAGAATATGTAATTATATATGATGAATACTGCAATTAGGCTCCCTTCAGTTTGGTTATTTTCAGTTTAAAAAANTATTTTTTTCGGTCGTGTGGTTGCCTAATTGTGTATAGAAACTGCAAATTCAATGCAAAACAATATAACTCTTTCAATCAAATGTTTTTAATGTATAACATTCTTGTTCGATATTTTTTTAAGGCAAATGCAATTCGATTTGAAACTTTTACAATTTTGGGTTTTATGCTTTTCAAGTTTGGTACGATTGTGCACCAGATTGCACTGTTGCTTATCTATAATAATCGAATAAGGTATCTATCATTATATTAAAAGAATAATCTTTTTATGATTTCTCGCCAAAATCATTATTTTCCCTCCAAAATCATTAAATACCCGCCAAAATCATTATTTTTCCTCTAAAATCATTAAATACCCGCTAAAATTATTATTTTCCCTCTAAAATCATTAAATAAATAGTGATTTGTGATGTTTTTCTTTTTCCTATTTTGTTAGGTTAACAAAATAATACATGTCATTAAATAAATAGTGATATAGTGTTAACAAAAAAACCGGCGCTGGTTTTTGTGATGTTTTTCTTTTTCCTATTTTGTTAGGTTAACAAAATAATACATGGTTTTTGTGATGGATCCCTTTTTCCTATTTTTTAGGTTAACAAAATAATAGATATTGTGTTGATTTGTTTCCCTTTACATTTAAACTTTTTAGGCAGAAATTTCGAAACATTATATTTGATTTAATGTGTATATATTTGTTTTTTTTTTCCTTTTTTTTGACCGAAGGTGTTTATTAAATTAGCCTTATAATATTTTAGTTACTTTAAACAAATTGTTTAGACATTTGTTTTTTACATATTCGTCTATATATACACATATACACATATACATAATTGATGTTAAATTTAATTATTTGTAGACATGCTTTTTTTGCAAAATAGTCTAGATTTTTTTTTTACATAATGTTAAATTCAAATGTTTTTAGACATGTTTTCTTTTTAAAATTGTTTAGAAAAGTTACAGGTGAATTATATCTTTCAAAAATAATATAGAAAATTTTGAATACTTTTACATATACTAATATAATATTTTAGGTGTTTTCAATATTAAATATACAAATTTTATATTCTATTATACAAAATAATGTAAAATTTATATTCTCTTATACAAAATAATTTTACATTGTCTGACCCCGACACTTTAATATATAATTATTATTTTTTCTTCCCCTTTTTAAATAGGATCAATAGTAGTTTCCACTTTCGCCATTGAGTGACTCAAACTTGAGGTATATTTATAATATTGTTAATGTAATATTGTTACCGTGCATCGCACGGGTACACACTAGTAATTAAAACCTTTATAAAATCGTTGCTCATCTACAATAATCACATAAAATATAATTAAGAACTTAAATCAAAATAGGTTTGGACACCAAATTTGCCTAGGCTAAACGATGAGGCTATATTTTCTATCGTCTTGTAAATTCCAATTGAAGTACTCCAAAATTTCACTAAGACGATGTTTGTTAAACTAATTGATAAGCTAGTTGACAACTGATAATTAGTGGCTATGTTTGATAAACTCAACTGAGATTGATAGGTGATAACTTATAAGTTAATTTTAAGCTTATAGCTGATAGCTTATGGTTAATGAATGAGAAAACTAGTTGATATGATAAAAATATTTGTTAATATTAGTTGATAATCAAACTGAAATAAAAATTGAACGGGCTTATATAAAAAAAACTACCTATGAAAGTTTATGAGGTAAACTCGAGAATTTTTTTAAAGTTCATAATAGCAAACCAATCATATTTGGTACAATAAGTTTATAAGTTAACATAACAAACTATAAGCTAGCTTATGATGTTTACGATACACACTATATAAGCAAATTTCAAACTTATTGCTGATAGTTTGTGGCTGAAAAAGCTTGCTAATATGATAAAGTGTTTGGTAAGATTAGCAGATAAGTAGATGAAATAAAAATTTCAACATTTGAAAAATTACTCAAATAAGCTTATGAGATCAGCTCGAGTTTTTTTTAAAAAAACTTATTCTATCAAATCAAATTTAGTTGAATGGAGAAAATTTATAAACTAACCAAATAAGTTATAAGATATATAATGGTGCTTATCAAACGCGCTCTAAGATTATGTTTAATAATTTTGACGGTTAAAGTAGTTGATAATTGATAAGTTTGACTTGTAATATGTAATTAAATTTTGAGTCTATAGTTGATGCTTATAATTGATAATTGAAAAGTTAATTTATAGAAAGTGTTTAGTAAAAATATCTAATAAGTTGGTCGAAACAAAAATTTTAATATAGTTATGAGCTTAGCCTTATTTATGTAATTGAAGATTTTACATTAATAATTATGTTGAATATTATATATATATATATATATATGTATACAATATGTATGTCAAATTAAAATTCATCATAAAATCATTAATCTGATATATCCTGTATAAAAATTTAATAATAAATACAAAATTTCACCACGTCGTATATAGTTTCAAATAATTTTTTTTAACAGTTCCAGATTCATATGCACAACAATAAATCCACACATTATAATTATAAATAAATTAATTATATAAATTTGAAAAAATGTACATTTCCACATAAGTGAGGGAAGAGTTATAATAAGTACTAAATAAAATTTTAATGAAAGGTACAACCGAGAATTATAATTCTCCGATAAACCCTGGAAAACAAAGTCTCAAACAAACACTGAAGTACTGAACAGTGTAATTCAGCTCCGTTTACACAGTTGCACTATCGTGCTCCTAGGCACACCTTGCTAGGTGTGCCATGCCCGATTTGCACGCGCGAGCCAAGTCCAAAAAAAGTGGTGAAAAGGGTTTTATTTAACGTGAAAACCACGCGCCTTTCACATCAAAACTTTTGCTCATTAATTATTTTTTTTTTCTAATTTTGCCGGCATCGTGCCTCGATTTTCAAACCGTCTTCTCCCCCAACTGCAACTGCAACTCCTCTTCATTTTCACCATTGTTTTCTCTTAATTTTCTCTGTTTCACAAGCAAAAGTTCCCGGAGAAGACAATTTTAAGTGAAAAACGCTCAATTTCCGACAATCTCTACTTCCCAGGTAAGATTTCTTTGCTTTTCATGTCGATTTAATTTCAATTTCATAAATTTTAAATGTTAAACTTAGAAATGAGAAACCCTACTTCATGGCAGATGGAAAACGAGACATTGCGGAACATGCTGGTATGTATTTTGTGCCTTGGGTTGAAACCATTCCGATTAGAGATTCAATTCACTTGCCAAAACCCTATTTTCAATTTCAAATTTCTGTGCCTAGGGTTTAAAGTAGTCATTCTAGAAGATTGTATAATGTGTTATAAATTTTTTTCCACACAGGATAAAATTAAAGGCCGTAGGAAAAATAGGTCGAAACAACGGCCAGAAAATGTTGGTGAACGGTATGTCCGCCTTGTTCATCTTCATTCTTATATTGGTTCATTTGAACATGTTCAATTTTCTTTTAAACATATTCATTTTCTTACTACACATGTTCATTTCGTTGCTATACATGTTCAAAGAACATCTTATATAGAATGTAGACATGTTCATTTTGTAATTGAACATGTTCATTATTCAATAGAACAAGTTCATTAAATACTGAAACATGTTCATATCATACTGTAACATGTTCATTTTATGTTTGAACATGTTCATTATACAATTTAACATGTTCATTGTATACTGTAACATGTTCATATTATACTGTAACATGTTCATGATATTATTTTTGTAGAAAAAGGAAAGCTGATAAGAGTAAGCAAACTGAAAGAAAGAAGCCAAAATTAACCTATGAAATAAAAGAAGAAGGGGGATTCTTAAATAGAGTTTCCCCTCTAGCGTTGTACAAATTTTTCAAAGACTTGGATGACCGACAGAAAGAAGATGTAAAGAGTGTAGGTTTTGGTCATCTTCTCGACATGAAGATTACACAAATTGCGCCACCAAATCTTTGTTATTACTTGGTCACACAGTACAGGTAATTTGTGAAATTTGATTTTCATTATAATGTACATGTTATTTTCATTCTACTACATGTTCATTTTCTTATTAAACATGTACATCACATTATATCACATGTTATCACAGGTATGCCAGTAACACACTCATTCTCCGCGGTAATAGAGAGATGAATATTACCGCCGAAGATGTTGAGGCTGTTCTGGGCCTACCGAGAGGACCAAAAGAGGTCATTGAGGGTGATTGGTATGACAAAGATGAACAATATAATAAGATGCTTGGGGATTTCAGGGAGACCTTTGGTTTTAAGCGTACGGCTGGAGCTCCAACAGCCAAAAAGCTGGTGCAATATTTAACTGGAAAGGACGTTGAGAGAGGACAGAGAGTCTATGGAGATGACTTTAAAAGAATTTTCGTGATTGCTGTGGTGTCCCTATTTCTCTGGAGAAATAGGGGCCAAGAATGCAAGTTTAGATTGCTCAAATCGTTGCGAAAACCGTCTGACATCATCAATTACAATTGGTGCCAGTATGTGTTACAAGCTCTTTCTGAATCGGT